TTGTTTGCTTAGTAACTTGTATCTAAAAATAAACAAAAAATTCAGGGGTAAAATTTAGGGTTCACAAACATTAAATCGTCATTTTCTCAAAATAGAAACCCCCTTCAAAGATCTATTTTCCTAGACCATGACCCATTTTAGCTGTTCTGGTTTCACTGACCGATCGGTCAACCAAAGTCACATGATTGTAGCGCAGTAAAGACGATCTCATTCAAACTTCTCTTCTATAGCATCAATTTCATCCCAACTTAATTTAGAAATTCTCAATGCCAAATAAAATCTTACCCGTTGTATTTTATCCTCACCTATGCTACTAAAAAGGTCATAAATTTTCCTTGCTCTTTCTATTCTTTTCTCGATTGCATTTTTCGAGAGATTAGATGGGAGCTGTTTTTTAACTTCTTTATAAAGTTTTCTTTGAGATCTATGCTCTTTATTATCTTTCATGTACTCGACTAGCATATAATAATTTCTTGATTCACACTTTCAATTCATTCTCCAGCCTTAACAATTGCACTGTATAAATCAGAAAAATTACTTGAGCTTGTGATAGATTCAGCCTGAGAAGTGGTACTACTTGTTGAAGAACTTGGCGATTTTAGCTCCTCAATAAGTTTTTTAACATAGATATATTTTTGTCTTTAGTCTTTACTTTCTTACTAGATAATTTATTTTCAGGGTATCTTTACTAGGTCTTTTACGGGATTCTTTTTTTAAAGGGATAATGCTTTGGTCTGTTAGACGATTACCTTCACCATCTTCATTATCATCTACATCCGACATATCTTCTTCTATAATTTCTAGTAAATTTTGAGATTAGATACTATGTTTTTCTATTCTTTTAACTACTGATAATGTACTTAACTCAGAACCTCTTCTAGTATTTGTTTCGATAATTTCGATCTTCTTACTACAACCAGAGAATGGACATGTATTTGGTATTGTAAGTAAAAGTTCTTTTTCGATACAAATTCTATGAAAGACATGCCCGCAAGATAGTGTTGTGAATGCTTTGAGAGGATGTGTAATAATTTCATCTTTGCATACCGAACAATGCTCTAATTCTGTAATTTTTATACTCTTAACAATGCTATTCTTGAAAGTTTTTAGAATATTATACGCAAGATTTTTGATGTTATTAATAGGAGTAGTTGATGTGGAAGTAGAGGTAAACATATTCAAGAGTAAAATTTATGTAATTAGATTCATATGTGTTAGTATTTTACAATTTTCTAGAGTGCTTTGCACTTTGCGTAGCATATACTTAGCTCGTTTTTATACATTAAACACCTTCACGACTAAAAAATTTAATTTGCAGATTTTATTAAACTAATTTCGGATTTGGCAATCCGTTCATTCACGAATTATTTAGTATGGGAGATCGCTCGATCTTTGCTAGCAATCATGGATAAAAAATTATGCTTAAGGGTAGACCTGAAGAGTCATTGCTCTGCAATAAGTGTGGTTAGTGAGTTGGTTAGTATATATTTGAATATTTATTACTTATGAAAAAAAATCTTAATAATTGGGAAGGGCTAGTTTCACGAAGTTTGGCTCACTTGGTGAAATAGATGGGTTATCTTATTACTGGTATTGAGATTTAAACTTAACCATCATTGCTCTTTTTTCTGCTTCTTCAGGAGATATTCCAGATGAAACTATACGCTTATATGCATAAATTCGCCAATGCCTATATGAAAGAGTTCGAATTCCATCAAGTAAAATCTAATGCTTATTATCATATGGATTTAACCTTATCTTATTTACCCTCTCCAGATATATTTGATGATCATAACTGCGTAGACCATATATATCATGCCTAGTTAACCTTCAGATCTTGAGATATTCTAAAAACTTATCATGTCAAAGCTCTTTCTTGACTACGGATTTCTTAACACCTTTAGCTTTTTAAGTGTCATGTTTTTTCTGCCAGTCTTTTATATTCTGAGATTTTCTAGATTCTTCATCCTCTAACTTTTTTTCAAAATCTGCCTTTGTTTTAGGAGTTTTTGAATCATGTCTAGCTGGAAGAACTGAGTATATTTTCGGCTTCAAACATACTGACTCACCTATGGGGTCTTCTTTTGTTTCATCCTTCATTAAGAACAAATCTTTAGAATAATCAAGATCGAAAATATCTGGACTTTTTGCTCGATCTTTATAAATGTCTTTAGTTTCGATCTACATAATTAGCGAATCTGTATCAGTATAAAGTAGACGGGCTTTATCTCCATAGCGAGGTTTTATGTAACCATACCAAAAGTTAAACATCATAGCTTTACTAATATCAAGAATTGCTTGCCCTACGAAAATTGGCTTATTTAATATTACTGTACTTTTTAACATATGAATAGCAGTTATCCCACCTTCAAATATTTTGAAACCTATATATAATAGTGAGCTAACTAAACATTTTATTTTTTTATCTTGATCTGAATGAAGCAATTCTACTTTCATATGTTTTCAGATATTCTCCGTCTGTTTTCCAAATACAGCATTATTTTTAGCTTGTAATACATTACACCAAATTCATCTTTATTGGCTTTAGCTATCTTGCGTTTGCAAATATTTTCCTCAATATATGATTTTATCCATGGTGTTTGTTTAAACTTTAATACGCCATAAATTTTTGTAATCTTCATTCTGAACTTCATATATGTCTGAAGAGCTTGATAGTGAATTATATAATTTTTCTTGGGTAAAAGTGTTTGAAGTAACTTTTCACCCAATACGTATTTCTCTTCTCCAACTTCTTTATCTTGTACTAATCTTTTATTATACAAGCTAAGCTAGTCTTCTGGAACTATCTGCTTTTCTGGTACTAATGGATAGTCTGCAAAGAAATCATGCAAGCCTATGGGAGCTTC